CTATTCTCCCACAGCACGCCCAGGGTCAGTGAGTGCTCTGCGCTGCCCGGGATTTGGACCATTTCTCCCACCTGATCTCCAGACAGCTCCCCTGCTTGCTTCTATGCCGCGCTGGGCTCTCTCCTACAGCAGTGGGTTTCAGTGGAGATAGCTGAGGCTTTTTTCCTTAAAATAATATTTACAGTCCTTGAGCAGATTTCATCCCTGCTGTAAACCCAGACACACCAGGGAGTGCTTTGGCCCAAGAAGCCTGGATCCTAAATAGTTATCACTGTCCTGGAGCACACTGCCTTGCTGCCATAGGCTTGCCCCGCAGGGCTGGGGACCTGCTCTGAGTGTTGGCTGGTTACTGCAGAGTTGCTTCGGGGCCAGGCTGTAGCCTTTGGCTTCTGGTGTTTCATCTCTGGAAACGGGGGAGCACTAGAAGGTTTGCTTAGCCAAAAATCCTCTGTACCTGGGACTCTGCTCCCTGCCTGGGGGTGGTTATGCTGCTGTCCATGCACCCATGTGGGGTCAGCTAGGAGCAAATTGCTTCCAAGGCTTGTGTGCGTCCTGGCTCTTTCCTCATGGTCTGGGTCACAGTGTGAGCACCCTTTGCTAGCTCTGTCGCGCTTCACCCCTTAGCATGGTCTGGAAGTTGCCTCTCCTGTAATTTGAGTGCGGCATCTGCGTGACCTCACCTCTCTTTACAGGGAACAATAGCTCAGCACTTCGTGTATCCCAGCCAGCACAGCATCGCAACCTGTATCACAACCTGTTCTTTCAGCACACCTTTCACACCATACCTGCCTCTGGGGTGCACAGCTACAGCCACCCCTCCTTAGCTACCGGGATGCAGGCCATGGCCTGCAGATCCGGGTGTTGGGAAGCCCAGGTCTGGCTCCCAGGAGGGGGATGGTGCTTGAGCCCTGCATGCACGAGGCCCTGCGACTGGAATAGCAAGTTGTGCTGCAGGCTAGCTGCTGGCAGAGCTCCATATGCGAGCTCAGGATTGACTAGCTGAGCCAGCTGCAGGCTGGGATTGAGGAGCACATGCTGAGCTGGGGCTGGGCAGCACCAGGACTGGCATAGCAGAGTGGGGACTGCAGGTCCATGCTGCAAAGCATCCGCAGAGGAAGCCCAGGACTGGAATAGCACAGTGGGGGGCAGGTAAAGGATAGCAGCACTGGCCAGGCTTGGCATGGGGAGTGCCAGGCCTGCAAGCCAGGACTGAGGGGCCTTGGCAGAGCCGTGCGTGGATGGGATAGAGCACCTGTCCTTGCTGTAGCCAGGTCTCTTTACCCCTCACTCCCGAGAGCTCCCTTTCCTCCCATAATTCAGATCTCAAGCAAAGGGCCAGCTCAGAGCTGGGTCTAGACCTGACTTCCCTCCCAGATCTCTAACACAGTTTCACTCTGACTTGCAACTGCTTTACAAAAGCCACATCTGGCTCCAGCAGGCTGGGGTGTGTGCAACAGCACTGTGAAACAGCACCGTGGTATGGGTGCGGGCTTGCAGACACCTGGGAAATGGGCTTTTTCTCTAACGCACTTCTTCCAGGCTACCAGTTCTCCCTTCGGCCCTACCAGGTTCAATTTCCAAGCACTGCTCTTGGGCCTGTGAGGCTCCAGGAGCAGGTGTGTGAATGCTGATGCCTCCTGTTTGCAGAGACCCATTAGTGGGCTGGGAAAAAAGCCTCCCCCAGACGGAGGGGCATGAAAGCCGGTTCAGTGAGCAACAGAGGAGGCTGTGGCCCTTGCTGGAAGCTGCTCTTCCAGCTGAGAACACAAAGGTGCTTTATTTACTGCAGTGCTATAAATATCCCCCGGCCAGGTGTGCTGGGAGAAAGGGATAAATGACCATTGTTGCAGAAGGGAGGAGAAGCCAACTGGCAGCTGCCTCTGGCTCCTTAACCCCTTCCCTGTCCAGGCCAAGTGCCCCGATGCCCGGGTACAACCCTTGCAGCAGGATGTTTTGGTGCAGTGCATGATGACACAGGTTGCCCATCACCGTGGGCATCACAGGAGGCTCCCAAGGATCGCACAGGGCTAAGGTTGGGCCCGAACCTACCAGTGCCCCATTCAGTGGCTGTGCACAATTTGTACCCAGCCTACTTGGGCTCGGTGACTCTGAGGGTGCAGTGTTGCTTGCATTGAGGAGGAGGACCCTTACGGTCGAGTCCGTAGTGCGCCGACTTGGGATTCAGGAGCAGTGCTGGGTCTGTGACCAGACTTGAGCCATTCTGCTTCCATCCAGGAGAGAGCCACGTGCTGTCACAGATCCTTGCAACCTGTGCACTTTTAGGCTGGGAGAAGGGTAAAGAAGGAGTGAGGGGGAGCACGAGCCGGGGAAATAGCTGAACACATCCCTGAGCCCTTGTTGCTGTCTTTGCTTGTGCAGACTACAGAGTCTATGCTGCCGGTGGGATGGGCCTGGACCTGCGGCCTCACAACTACATGCAGCACTACGACATGCTGAAGGACATCTGGGTGTCGCTGGCAGCCATGCCCACACCCCGCTACGCCGCTGCCTCCTTCCTGCGCGGCACCAAGATTTATGTGCTTGGTAAGAACAGACCCATTGCTCTCCCATGGGGGCTCAGCCAGGCGGTCACTCCTCTGAGCCCTGGGCCCAGGGTGAATGCTGAGGGAGGGGTCATTCCCAAAAGGGGACGTTGTGGAAGCTGCTGTCCGTGAGCACCCTGTGCTTAGCTGCCGGAGATGCAGCTGTGGACGTTTGCATTCCTGGAGGATAAAACTGAGGCCTGTGCAGAGCACCCAAGCACCACATCAGTCCCAGGTAGAGGCACAGGCCGTGGGCGAGCTGGCTGCAGGGGGGAGTTTCACCATCACCTGCCCTACTTAGCTGCAGGTCTGGAGGTGTGTGATGGTTGCCAGGTTTCCAGCTCCAGTTTTAGACCACAGACTCCCATACAAGCCTCTGGCCTTTAATAACAGCAGCAATACAGCTGCTTAGCTTCTGTCTCAAAAGCACAGCGCAGGTATTAAGGGCCCATTCCATAACTGATGTCAGTGGAGGCAGGCCCTTCGTCCTAATTATCCCTTTGCAGGAAGTCAGCATCATTATCCTCGCCTTGTAGATGGGGAAATTGAGGCATCTGCAGAGTTGGAGCATCTGTCAGGAAGCTGGGGTAGGAGCCCAGGAGGGCTGATCATGCTCAAGCCACCAGGTAGTTTTGTCTCTCTAGGGGAGTTCCCAGTAATGAACCTTTGATCTATTTGAAGTTCATCCGTTGCTCCTGCGCAAACAGTTTGCATTGCCTCGGAGCAAGCCTGGGCTTCCAGTCTTCAAAGTGGCACTGAGCTTCTGAACTGGAAAGAGCTGTGTTCATCTGCATTGGACTTGTACAAGAATAACATGGTGCCGTTTTGTTACTATCCCAGCATCGCGTGCTGGGGCATGTTACCGGCACCGAACCTCATCTGAGCTGCAGAGCTCCTGAGCCTGCAGTACTCACCCTGCTACTATGGATGCATCTCGATTACACTGACACCCACTCAGTGCCTTCCAGGGCTAGCTAGTGTTGCTGTCACTGGAGAACAGGGTGAGTGGTGCAGGAAAAAGATGTGTTTCCATTGCCTGAGCGCGCAGGAGAAACTGGAAAATGTCCAGTCCCACGTGGCCTCAGGCTGAGCGCTGTGAAATTCAGGGCATCCGCGGGCACTGGCTAATTACAATCCATACTTCTGAAATGAATGCCCTTCACTGTGGGAGTCATGGGCCTTCAGGTGGGCACAGTGGAGATCCTGCATCAGAACCGGTGGTGTCATGACTCTGGTGTTGTTTGCAAGTCTGCTGCAAACAGCCACACATCTGTACTCCCTGAGTAACTTTTGCTTTGTACGGCCGTTGTAAGCATTTTGGGGCAGGGAATCTGGTTTTGTTCAGTGCCGTACAGCTCCAGGCACAGAGAAGTTCTGGTCCATGACTGAGGCTTGCAGGCCTTACCATGGAGATGACGCCAATCGTGCTCTTCTGCAAATCCCAGGCATTAGGTTTTGTGCATTCCCTCCCGGCCCTCCAGAACTGGGAATTAAACTACCCGGCAGTCCTCCCTCACCACCTCAGACAGCCTCTTCCCACTTCCAGTTGTCAGTGCTCTTCTCCCCCAGTCTGAGCAGATATTTCTATGTTTCATTGTCCCGTGGGAAGCAGACACTGTTTATGAAGCATTTTCTTCAGTCCCATTTCCCAGTGACATGCAGGCTGCTCTGGGCCTATCAATCCTGATGACAAGGTAGTGTAAGACAAACAGGCGACCAAAGGGCAGGGCAGACAAAAGGAGCGGATGGGGACAATGGTAACCAGATGATGAGGTTACCAAGCTGATCTCTGCATGGCTCCACCTAGCTCCTTTCAGCTGCCAAGTTACTCAGCGCTCACCCCAGAAAGTCATGGCTGATGGGAGCTTACCCACCCCTGCCCTGATGCGTTTGTCCCCATCTCTGTCGCAGGCGGACGGCAATCCAAGTACGCCATCAATGCCTTTGAGGTCTTCGACACCGAGACCCGATCATGGACCAAGTTCCCAAACATCCCCAGCAAAAGGGCCTTCTCCACTTTCGTGCCCACGGAAAGCAAGCTCTTCAGCCTCGGGGGCCTGCGGCAGGGCCGGCTGTACCGGCAGCCCAAGTTCATGAGGACCATGGATGTGTTTGACATCGAGCAAGGTACCCACCGGCTGAGGGAGGATGTGCAGTACAGCGAGGGCAGATGTCAGGCAGCTGGGTCTGCTCTTCTGTGCCAGATGCCGAGGGCTGTAGCCCCCTCTCTCTGCCTTTGCTGAGAGTCAAGGGGCTTCTGCACCCTGCAGGATTGCCTGCTGACCCCTTGAGCCCAGCCCCGACCCCGAGCTGGGCAGCAGGACCGCAGGTGGCGAGCCCACCGTCCAGGCAGCCTAACCTCTCTCTTGGAGCACTGCAGGGAGAGACCCTGACCACACAGGGGACAGGATACCCCAAGGGGAAGCTGCCTTGCCTGGAAAACCAGCTTTCTGAATTGCAGCTGGGCGGGTTGGGTTTGGCTGGGCTGCATCTGTTTCCAGAGGTAAGAGATGTACGCCATTCTTTAAGGCTCTGCGACCCTTGCTCAGTGAGGGAGGTTTATAGTCGGGTCTCGGAGATCAATACAGCCAGTCCAGTCTAGCACCCAGATTTCAGCGCCCTGCAGCTTGCATCCAGAGCTGACTCGGAGCAAACGGGACCCTTTACAACATCTCAGGCCGGTTCTGTCTAATGTCACCTCCGTAAGTGTCACTTTGAGCGTGGAGTTTCAGAGGACTGAAACGCTAAGCAAAGCGCCCCACAACTCCTTTGAGCAGTCTCTGGTGTGCGGTGGCATGCTGAGCGACACGTATCTGTGTGTCCATCCTCTCTCCCATCAGGTGGCTGGATGAAGATGGAGCGCTCCTTCTTCCTGAAGAAACGGCGAGCAGACTTCGTCTCTGGCTACCTGAAAGGCAGGGTCGTCGTGGCAGGGGGGCTAGGTGAGGAGCTGCCAACAGGGCAGGGAGACATTTGCAGAAGTCTTTATGTGATGGGGGAGCCTAAGTCTCATTGTCACAAGTGACTTAGGCACTGTCCTTCAATGAGAACCAGGGGTGGTTTTCAAATCCACATGAATAATGCTGTGAATGTAGAGAAATTTTCCCATTAGGCATCTCAGCGCCTAGGTCATTTTTTGAAAATACAACTTGGGGTCTTGGAAAATGTCACCTGAATGGATCAGACTTGCACAGGTGACTGCTGGTTTTGAAGTCCTGCTATTTTATTTTCTTGGCTGGCTCAAAACAGACTAAGAGCAGCACCTGTCACATTGGGCCACCCAGAAAAGTCCTTGGGCCCAGGCATATGTATGGGCCACGCAACCGTGGGCTGGAGCAGTGACTCTCAACCAGGGTGCCACCCTGGGGTGTCACCAGATCCTTCGAAGGGTGCCGCGAGGTGAGGAGCTAAGCAGACAAGCTGAGTAAGTAAATTTAGTCTCGGGCTTGTCCTTGCTTGAAGCATCCTCCACTGCCTAGCCCCTCTTCAAGGAGCTCCGTGCTGTAATATAAAAATGAGTTTTTGACATTAGTGACAAAGTGATGGAGGGTGCCTCAAGTCCAGTGAGGGGTGCCTTGAGTCCAAAGAGGTTGAGGACCGTGGGGCTAGAAGAAGCAACTTCCTTATAGCAGGTGGAGGCAGGGAGAGGTGGGGCCAGGGCCTCCGAGTTGGGGTGGGGATTTATCCTGTTTCCCTGCTCAGATCAGACTTCTCCCCCCGTTATCGTGATATGGTTGTTTCATAATCAAGCATCTCCTGCTCCTTGGGCTCTCTCAGGGAACCAGCCGACTGTCCTGGAGTCCGCCGAAGCCTTCCACCCGGAGAAGAACAAATGGGAATGCCTCCCGCCCATGCCCACCCCTCGCTGCGCCTGCTCCAGCGTCGTGCTGAAGAACTGCCTGCTGGCCGTCGGCGGTGTCAACCAGGGCTTGAGCAATGCTGTGGAGGCGCTGTGCGTGCCTGACTCCTAGCAGGCCTCTGCCCGAGCCCCCCGCCAGCCGGAGGTCCTAGGAAGGCGGCGGGGTGAGGACGCCACCAGGTCCGCTCTGCAGAGTCCCTGGGCGCTGGAGCGGTTTGCGCTCGCTGCCCTGCTCTCTCCGGCTGCAGCTCTGCCGTCGTGGTTTAGTGCAAGGAAAGGGGCCACCTCCTCCGCCTCTGGGATCTCGTGCCTCTTGAGGCCAGCGCTGCTGTGATGCTGTTTGTTAGCAAAGGCTCCTGACTGCCCATTAGCCAGTCCTGCTATTCACAGCTCTACCGCTCCTCTGGACAGCCTTGATCTCCACCGCTGCTCTGCGATCCCACAGCCCTGAAGCTGCTGGGAGTGCACCAGCTCCTCTCCGCAGCAGTGGAAGCTGCCGAGCCTGGGTGGGATGCTTTGACATGGGGACCCCCCCCAACTTCCTGCAAGGGTCCGGAAAGCAACCCAGCTGAGAACAGCTTGCACCGGAGGTGGCATAGCATGTCTACCGCCATTGGGGAGGGACCTTGAGGTCAGGGCAGAGAAGTCATGGGGGAAGCATGCGTATCCAGACAGGCCAGGGAAAGCTGCTGCTGTACAGGTGGAGCGGACCTGTTTCTGGTGGGGGACTGCAGCAGCTGGGGCTGCCTATCCGTGCTGCCAAGTAGGAAAAGGACCCTCCTGGGCCAGCGGGCACTGGTCCGATGGCAGGACTGTCAGTGACCCCCTCCCATTAAGCTGTAGCATTCAACTGTTGCTTCACAGGAGCCGAAAGTGCTCACCGGGACAGGACGTGGGGGCTCATGTTGGGACTGCTTTCCACAGGGGGTAGCTCTGCCTGTAGCAGCAGAAGCCCAGGTCTGCCTTCTCTCACTTTACTGCAGAGGTGCAACATGACAACCCAGCCCCGGACTCCAATCCCAGGTGATGCCCCGAGGCGTTTGGAGATGGGGTTTGGGTTTGTTGCGTTGCAGAGATGAAGAACTTTTTGCAAACCCCAGGCCCGGGTCTTGCTTTGCATTTCTCGTGCCCCGCCAAGCCTGGGCAACCGCCCTTGGCTTCTCTCACCCCGCTGCGTTGCAATGTACAACCAGAACGCCACCACCGCCATGCTCTTTTTCTCTCTCTTTTACGGTTCCCCTCATGGCTCGCGGCTGGTCATGTCCAAGTGCACGGTGATGGACAGTTGTGGCTGTCATGCGTAGCGGCAGCCCGGGCCAAACCCATCTCCATAAAGTCTCTTGAACCAGCACTCCCCATGCTGAGCGATTCTTTCCACTCCTCCTACCTATGGTTGGGGATTTGCGGATCTGGGCCATGGACCTGAGGGAGGGGGAGAGCCAGCCTGGGGAGCACTCACTCTCCGGTGCCAGCACGCATAGAGGCTGCCATGAGACGCTGATTCGAGGAGAGTCCTGACACCGCTCCGGCCCTGGCCTCTTGGGCATCTGATGCGCGTTTCATTATGAAGCCATCGGCCTCAAAGGCAAGTGGGATTTACCAGTGCAAATCCTTCCCAGCCTGGGCAGAACAAGGCTGGGAGATAACCGCAGGCAAAGGGGTGAGGAAGCCACATCACAGCTTAATAAGAGCCTAAGCCCCTTCCATGCTTCCTGCCGCATAAAGAACCTGTTGGCTATATCCAATATTGTGGCGTGCTGATACAGCTCCATGCACCAGTCCCCTACCCACGCAGTGCAGGCAGAGCCAGGGCACAAGGCTGTTGCAAGCGGGGTGGATTCCCCATTCTTCCCCAGCTCCCCTTTTGTTTTTGATGGTGGCGTGACTGCCATGCTACAAGCCCATCCTGCCGGTGAATTGCTCCCTTGCTGTCCTGTGGCCGGTGAGCAGGGCTTTGGAAAGGGAAACGCGTGTCCACAGGTCTCAGGGGAACGGCGCTGGTGCTCGGTTGTGTTTAAAGGCGGTGGGTGTGAGCACAGATTCACTCTTGGGCCTGTACTGCTGCACTGGTTTGCTCTAGCTGTGCCAGTGGGGCTCAGCCAGGGCCTTATAGGCACTGGGCAGAGCCTGGGGTGCTGCTGGGAACAACTCAGGGATGGGGTGGGGTGAAGGGGCAAGCTATAGGCGGACAAGGCTACCCAGGCATTCATGCCAACACCAGCTGGCCATGGAGGGGTTATACCCGGCTTGTAAGGGAAGTAGTGATGGGTGAGCCCAGGATTTGCTCCCCACGTTGCTGCTGATGAAGCTTTTCCCCTGGCCGCCCCAACAGAGCCGCCAGCAATAGCACAGTAGGCCATGGTCACAGCTGACATGACCGATGCTGGATGACATCAAAGAGCAACAGCCACCAAGGCCCTTTCGAGATGAGGGATCCCAGGCTAGGATTGTTCCTGCAGTTGGGCTGGGCTTCTGTGCCCCGAGCTGCACAGAGTCAGTGCTGCTGACCTATCTGCCATGGCTTTTGTACTGCCAGCAGCTATGGGGAGTTTCCGAAGGAGGCTTCAGAGCTGAAAGCCCTTTACCTATCCCTGCATATGTTGACTCTATTTTACAGGGCCAGCCAGGCACATTGTCTTGCCAGGCTGGGCAGCCCTGTTGCCACTGCATGTATTTCTGGCCTCACCCAAGCAAGCTGTGCCAGCTGCCCTGGGTCTTCATAGTGCCTCTTCCCAGCCTGGGGGGTCACCTACAACCTAGCAAAGGGTCTTCCAGCAACCCGGGATTGAAGACCCACCGCTGTCATATTGAAATGCTCTACTGGACCATGCACCTTCAAACCAACCTGCGTCTGCATTAGCAGGTGATGGCTTTAACCATCCGCAGAACAGACCAGGAGTGTCACCACTGTGCCTAGCAGTGCTTCCCGCTGGGGAGAACCAGCCTCAGCACAGATCAGGCATCTTCAAGGAGTCAACGTAGGCTAGACATCAGGAGGCGCGACTTCACGGTCAGGGCGGCTAGGATCTGGAACCAACTTCAGAGAGAAGTGGTGCAGGCTCCTACCCTGGGGGGCTTTAAGAGGAGGCTGGATGAACACCTTGCTGGGGTTGTTTGACCCCAGTACTCTTTCCTGCCATGGCAGGGGGTCGGACTAGATGATCTGCTCAGGTCCCTTCCGACCCTAGAAACTATGAAACTATGAACGTGCACAGACGACGGAGGCCCCTCCGACAACCTGCTGCAGGTGCATTGGCTGTGAGGCGATGCCGCTGTGACTCTGGTGCCTGGCACAGCAAAACAACCCCTGGAGTCTCCCAGGACAGGCTGTAGTACGTTCCCAGTCTCTTTCCAGATGTCAGCATGGAGCAAGCTAAAGGATATCACGGCACTGGGGAAATCTGGGCCAGGGAGAAGGGTCACGCAGGGGACTCACACAAGTCCAGGGTGCATGGATGGTGTCGAGCCAGTGTGGTGACAACACTTGCTATGGGCCAGTGTGTTGTGTAGGAGCAGGTGTGGGTTGTTGTCCAGGATCTTCATCCTGGAGGCTGAGATGCCCCTTGGGGCTGGGGGTAACTTGGGGATGGGGGTGTCTAGCCAGGGCCCTGCTCCCCAGGGCTGCTTTCCCAGTGCTGGAGTGCAAAGAAGCGGGGTTGCCTTTTGGGGCCGTTCCCATGCAGCTCTGAGGACACCTAGCGGCTTTTTAGGGCAAGAGCCAATGCCGGGAGCCCAGTCTGGTCATTTTGCACCTAGAAGAGACCAGAGCTAGAGAAGGGTCCTGCGGACATGCTGTCCAGGCTGCTCTCCGAGGACCCTGTTACACTGGAGCTGCACAGGGAAAGGCAAGGAAAGGGTTGTGCGTAGGGTAGACTCAATCTTTGTGGGGTAATCTCTGGGTGCATCACCACGAGACGCTTACTGCACATTAGTCGAATAACACTGTGCAGTAGCGTGGCAGGCAAAAACCGTGCTAATAGTCTCGTGCGCAGTGTTACTAGGCTAATGCGCAGTAAGCATCACAAAATAACCGTGATCCAGCACGACTGTGCAGTAACTCTAGTTACTGCGCGTTTAGTTAGTACTTCATAAGGAAGTACTAAATTAAATGCGCAGTAATTAAGATGGATTAATGAGCATGTAGATGCACCTGCTGTGTCCTATGGGGTGGGGATACTGCTGGGAGGATTAATACACTGAAGCATGGGAGGTGCTCGCCGCCTGTGGGATGGGGATGAATAGCTCCCTTGGAGAAGGCCTCCATGTGTAGCACCAACCCCGGGGGTTTCATGCACAGAGCCAGGGAAGGGCTGTAGCTGCTTCATGATGGAGGATAAAACCCCGCAACTCTGTCACCGAGGTTCCCACCCCCTCATAGCATGAGCACAAGGGCAAAGGAGCATTTCCTTGCATCTTCCCACCACCCCAGCTCCAGCTCCAGCTCCAGCCATTTTCTGGGAAAAAAGCTTCCTTTCAAGCCCAAGTCCCAAGAACCAGCAGCAAAGGCCAGCAGGGAGCTTCCAGTGTGCAAGGGCCCCACTGGGGTCAAGGACAGCTGTGTGCAGGGATGCCACCTTCCCGAGCTAGGCCTGCCACATCCCTAGTCCAGCCTGGGGTGGGTAAAGCCACAGATAGGCTGCAAGGGACCCTGTCTGCCCTGCTGGCTAGCAAAGGCTACATCATGCCCCCCCGGTAATGAGCCCATTGACCCCTCCCCAAGCCACCAGGCTCCTTCTCCACGGCTGTGTGCAGCCACCCTTCATCCATGCCAGAAACAGCTGGGAACTGGCACTGTCCCTGCTTGCAGGGCGGGTATCATCCCTGGCAGCGGCAGGCCACCCGCACATCACTTACACTGTCCAGGCAGCAGCATCTCTCCTGGGATGACTCGGCAGCTACGCTGCCCCTCGCGACACCTTTTTGGAGATCGGTGAGTGCCGGTGCTGGTCTTGGGGGTGCTGTGCATGCAAGGGGTTTGCCATATTAAGTCCTAGCGCGGTGCCTGCACGGGGTAGCAGACTTGCCTGACTCCCACCTTTGTTCCTCATCACTGAGGATGATGGTCAAGGCTGCACAGAGGCCAGGTAGCTCGTGGCGGTTCCTTTCTGCAGCTGGGGAGAGGGAAAGCAGCAGAGCTCAGGGCTCCAGTCCCCCTCTGGCACCTCATCGCAGCCCACGGAGATGACCCAGAACCAGCATCCCGGGGATCTACACCCAGCGCCAGATCCCTGCCTCAGCCCCTGGATCCAGTGCTCCTGAAGGCCAGAGCACTTGTGATGCAGATCTGCAGGCTGTGCCTGGAGCCATCTGTCCTCTCCCTGCAAAGCTGTTTCAGAGCCAGAGGGGAGAAAATCATCCCCATCTGTTTGCATTTGCCCTGGAGCAGGGAAATCAGTGGCCCCATTTGAAGTGTAATCCCTCCAATCCCTCCTGTCAGCTGTAAGTCACGCTCCCCTCTGATCTGGAACTGCCACCTACCACAGATGAAAGGGGGAAGCCGTTTGCTAACAACCCCTCAAGCTAATTATTTACATCCCACCTGCTTGTCCTTGGCTAAGAACAACCCACGCAGTCTGTCCTGTCTG